GGAATTGCATGGAGCTGCCAGCTCTTTACCCATGGCCCATTGAGCACCAAGCAAACACTGCTTCTCCCTGCACATTTGCAGTTCCTTTTGGCTCCCTCTCATAGTTACTTATCCTATTAGCTTAAGGGAGAAGCTCTAACGCAATCCCAGAAAGCATAATCTGAAACACACACTGCTGCCATTAGTATTCTTGTCCTCCTTTTTCCTGCTGTCAGTTAGGGTTTAGCAGAACACTTAGGGCTATAAGCACAGCTTTCACTCTTGGTTTGTATTAACGTATAATATTACAGCAAGTACAGCAAAATGAAACAAGCATTTATCTCCAGCCTTAATTAATACAGCCTTAAATTCAAAAGGATATCAGCAGTTTGGCTTCACAGCTCACAACCTGATTATAAGAACTGCTGGGTGAAATTATAGGACTTGTGTATTAGATCCTGAATGTGCAGCCCTTCGTCCCCTCCAGCGCGCCCAGCTGCACGAGCCGCAGCGCCAGGAGGTGCCCGCGCAGGCTGCTCCACGGGAGCACCTTCCCGCACGGTTATTGAGCGCCTTCCCGGCCGCTCCGTTATCCCTGCTCCCTTCCTCCCCTTCTCCTCCCGCTGCGAGGGAACAGGGCTGTCCCAGCGATTGCCTCAGCCCAAAGCAAGTTGTAATAGCGGAGTGGGAGCAGAGACCGGGGCAGGGCACGGCAGGAAGGAGCCAGGCTGCTCTCTTCCCGTCACAGTTAGTTCCCCCAAATGATGTTTCCACCTAAAATGCAGTCACTCACTAAAGCTAACGTGCTTCTGTTTAAATGGCCTTTTCTTTTTGTTCCCTAAGACCAGCTGTGCTCATAAATTAAATATTTGCAAGCAAACAGGCTCACCTCTGTTTTTAGCAAGTCTCTCTAAGCATGCAGGTTGCTGATGCCATTAACAACAGGGGCAAACTAAGTTCTTTGAAGAATAGTTAACACTCGGAGGCCTGTAATCTAGCAACGGACAGTTTAGGCTGCACGCTTGCAAACCAGTCACTGTTATACTCACTGTGGCCCTATTTAAACCAGAGAAACAGATGTGAAAAGCTCCATATTCTATTTAATTGCTCTACAGTCCCTTAAGGCTTTAGATTTTTCATTATAGTATTTCTTTTCAATATCCATTTCCATTTCAGTAGAAGGAACTTTTCTTGCACTTCAATTGTATATTTGAATTTTGAGCCATCTTTTCCAACTAAGCTAATTTCTTCAGTGAATTGCATACAATTTAATTAATTAGCTTGGGTAGTCATTTTACATTTTTAAATATTTCAATATTCTTATTCAAACCATTATAGCTATTAGAAAATCTCTAGTTCTCCCATTTGCCCTCCTCCTAATGAGCTTCTAATTAGTACCAATTCTTAACCTTGACATGGTGTTTATTTTAATAGCTGGTAACCTGGAGTTGCAAGGAAACGGGAGAGTGTTCCTTCCTCCGAACCTACACTCCTGGCAGGCTGCAGAGATGTTTGTGACCTCTACAAATCCTTAAGGTTTTCATCAGCATTAGCTCTTTCCCAGTGCTCTGTTTCTGTTTTTAAATTACACCTTCAAGTACCCAAGGTATGTAATAGTGTTAATCCAAGTGACTTAAGAGGTTGTTAAAAGCATCGTTGGATTATGTAGTATCTTGATTCTGGCAGCAGAGTTTTACATTTCCAAACTTATTAAGGTGTTATGCTGATACAAATTATCCTGCCTCTTCTCCAGCATATTTATTTAAAACAGCGGATGCAATTCGAAGACGGTCAAAGACAATGAAAGACAATCCCTGACCTTTCCCGCTTTTGTGTCGGGATCAATACGCTATTGCAACTTCCACATTATTTTGTACTAATTCCTAAGATGTGAAGATACAGATTACTTGATCTTTCTGTGCCTGCAGAGGTAATTGCTATCGCAATTATAAGACACTGTAGACAACGGGTGAAAAGATCACAGTGCTGCTGCTGCAGCACACTTGTTTGTTTGGGAATACGCAGTGACAAGGTGGTTCAGGGAGCTGTGTGACAACAGCCTGAGGAATACTAGGGAATGCACATCCCCAAAGGCAGTTCTGTTGGTCTGTTCATATAATGGTGTATTAATAAATGAATAGGCTCCTTGCTCACTAGTGCTTAATGGAGATAGGAAAATGAGGACTGCTTAAACAGCTGAGGAAAAAATGATTTTGGTTACTCTCTGGTTTGATTCATTGTAAATGATTATACTGATAATATGTACTGTATACTTAACATATTTCATGGCATACATATTATATGGGGTGTATGTATCTACATATGACATATATATACTAACATGTATCGACACGTGTTATATGCTGTATATGTTGTGGCAGTTAATGCGTGCTTGGTAAGTACATGAGGGACCTGAATTCAGATGCTTAATAGGGACACAAGAAGAACATCATATTCAATCATAGAATGGTTATAGAGACTCAGTATCTTGAAGTGATAAGAATTGTAAAGGGTGTAAGAAAACACAGTTATTCACTTATAACATGTTTGTTATTCTCAGCCAGGCAGCACACTTTCAAGCTTTTAAAAAAATCCATAAGACTTGTTCAGCTATAGATGGTGTTGAAACTGAGACAAATGTGTACTGTCTCTTCCTGCACAACCTTCATGGATCTTCATGTTGCCAGGACTTTTTAGCAGTGAAATATTTTTTCCATGTGTTTGTAAATGTTTTCATTGATTTTTTTTTAATTAATGATGAGTTTTAAGCAAATTTGACTTCTTCAATTAGTTACAGAGCCTGAGACAAATGTACATATTAGCCATCATTTCCAGAAATTAATATGTCAGGTATTAGATATTTCATTTCGTGTCTGCTGGCAATTTTTTTACAGGATGCTCGTCTTGTCACTGACT